GCAGAGAATTCTATTCTTATTCGGAAGAAAACTGTCCTAATTCCATTTAGGAAGCAGCAGATTTACTGCATATACATAGTCCCTTGTTACAGGTAATTTCCAGACGACACCGATGTCTCTGGAACATGCTACACACACACAGTGTTTGTGTGGTACGTGTACAAGGAAATACTTGAGTTTTCCAAGAGTGCCACAGCCTAGGCTGAACTCACTGACCAGGACAAATTTATAAATATATAAAAGGAAGACTCAAAGGAAGTATCTCAGAAGTTGGCCATGGCCAGAATAGTAGCTTCCTCATCTCTCCAGCACAATGCAAAGGCAGAAAAATTGTTATCTAATAAACAAGCTCATGCTCTAGCTAGATATATTTTCTTCTGACTTGGCTCAGAGGTCAAAAAATACTGATTAAGTAATATTTCATGAATAAAGCTGGAGTTCAGTTAATTATGATTCACCACGTTGCAGGAGAAGTATAAGGGATTATATGAATAAAAATCTGCTTTAGCCTTGAAACAACTGCAAATTTAAAGAATGCTTATTTTTATGTTATTTTAAAATATGCCAATTTTAAAAAATATTATGACAACAGTTCACTATTTTTCAGTGAACAGACACAATGCCATGTGACTTTTAAGAATAACCACACACTATGAATTGTTGAGTAGTCCAAGGGAATAGCTGATGTACAGGCTCACGGGTGCCATATTATTTGTTGACAATACTTGAAAAATAATTTTAGAAATCAAAATCAATACAGAGTTTATTAACTGAAACCAAGAAGTACATTATAAAGGATATTGTTTAAAAGTAGTTTGATTTTTCTAGTTCATCTGTCTAACTGACTAACGAAATGATTTGGTGGGATCTAGTGCCAACAGCATCTGTTGTTACCATAAAGCTTCTCTCCCTGCCTGTGCAATACCATTGATAAATTTCTAAATAAATTAAACCAAACCATTAAAAATCACTAATTGTAAAAAAAAATTATAAAAGTTGTAAAGGATCCAAGTATGCACAGGTATAGTCTAATAGTTCTCAAAATCACGCACTTGCAAACCAACTCTTTGATGACGGTTTCTTATACTTGTACAAAATGCAATGTTCTTCTTATGTAAATAAAAAGATGGCACCCATTTCATCAAAATCAACCATCTTAATGCTGACCTATATATAATAAAACATTCTTCTCAATCACACTAAATGAATGCTTCTGAAATGTTTTTGAAAAATACTGTTCTGGAAATATTTTTCAAAAAGAATATTCAATATTTTCTTATATCTGTGCCTATGCACTTCTACAAAAAATAGATGCAACTTGCACCACCACATTTCATTTGTGACATTTGCAAACTACACCCAAGCTCCTTGAACAACAGAAACCTGTTCAGCATATCAGCTGATATGTTTGAAATATCTTCCACTTAGATCCTATCCATCTAACTCTTAAATTCAGAGTCACTAATTCATCATTATACAATAAACATCAATCTAGAAAAGGTTGATCTGTTTCTTCCTAGGTATCATGTGCATACTCCTACTATTTCTAACTAAACTCCCCCCATTCTTCATGTTCTCACTTCTAATTTTGCCTCATCTCTCTGTTTCATCTTGCATTTTACACTCTAAGGTTTTCTAGCCAAGATACTACAATTCTCTATGCATTTATACAACATACCACATATGATCTTGATACAGTCAGCCTCCTGTCATTGCCACCTCTATCATATCAACAATAAACAAAGATAACAGTAAGAATGCATGGGACAAAATTAACATTTCCACTGGTTCAGATAAGCAACAGTTACAGAACGATCCAAGCAGATTTGCACCACTGCTCCTACTAACTCCAAAATCCACCAAGGAGTTTCTACAACATTTGATGTCAGCAAGTTCTATGAAATTTTCCTAGAGCTTCTCTCTTCAAAACATGCCATTTTCTACCTGTATTGTCTCTGTCCTCGATATAGAACGGTGACAGACATTCTCTTGCGCAAAGTCCCAGTGTTACTATGTGATGGAAAAGTGCTAAGGCATGTACTGTCACTCCTCCTTACAAAATCTCTGGCTAGCGTTAAGACCAGCTGCACGTTTCAGTAGGAAGAATGTCAAAGAGATCCTGGAGATCTACCCGATCTTCAGAGCGACAGAAACCAAATAGACTGATGATCAATTACTGGCTATGTATCTGATTAAAAGTTGAGAGGTTCTGGCCTTTAGAACAGCAACTTGCATCCATGGCGAGAATGAGCCGTATTTAGGGAATAAGCTTCATCTCACTGGTATGTTGTTACTCTCTTTGGACAAAGGTGACCTAGGGCTGGAAAAAGCTTCTAAAGTAAACTTGGAGCTGTTGCAGAAACAAATGCAGTACAAACGCAACTTTTCATATGGACACCTGAGTGGAGGCAAGAGTCAGAGACCAAGGAAGCAGGTAAGAGTGGCCATAAACTCTTGTTTAGAAGGAAGTAATTTGTATAGTTGTTATTGCTTTAAACTGGTTGGGAGATCTCCATAATTAAAACATTAAAATCATAATCTCTAACTTTTCTGGAAACCTGTTATTAAACAGAGTAAAGGAAATAGAAATAGAAGATGATACTCCACACTATAGGCACTGTTATCTTTCAGCGTTATTGATAAGCCAGGGACACAGGATCTTAAACACACAGAGGTAATATGCTAGCACATCCCAGAAGGATACACTGTTGGTAATATGAGATAAAGCAAACCACCAAACCATACCAGAGAACAAGGTGATCTGTTCTTTAAGTTGTAAAACATGAGAAGTACTATGAAGGACCTTCATCTAAAAGATGTAAGATAGAAATACCATGCAGACAGTAGAAACACATCAGGCACTCTTAAATTTTTCTTTTTCCTATACCAAAAGGATAACTATACTTTGGACCTGCGTTTAGTTAATCACACCAATGGAGTTCATTGTCCCAGTAAACCAGAAGAAAATTATACACTTGGGAGAAACCAAAGATTAAAGTGTTGAAGGACTCTTTCTACACTACTGCCACCAGGGACCAAAGGCCACTATTAAATAGTCCAAAAAAGGCAACCTATGATAAAAAAAAAAAATTACACCCTAATTCTGTGTTAAAGCTGTAATTAAATTGAAATATACATTACACATAAAAAACCCCAATCCTCAGCTAGAAATTAATTTAAATAGGAAACTTTGGGCTAAAGAAAACAGCCAAGAAAACAGAGGGCCTCCAACTTCTGATTCATGCTTTAAAAGAACACAAAAACACTATCCAAAAAAACCCCAAACCAACAGATATTTTCTTCTCTGTAAGTAGAAAAAAAGCAATTTTTCAGATAAGGAGGCCATTAGTAACCAAAATGAATGCTAAAAGACAACTTTAAATGAGCACACCCAGATAATTTGCGCCTTAGAGTCCTGAAAGTGTTTGCAAGAGTATCATTTCAATGATGCTAATTTTCAATACATTCTGGAACACCAAAGAAATTCAGTAAGACTGCTAGCATTTTCTGCTAATATTTGAAGATGGTAAGCGGTATGATCTCCGTAATTATAGAGCTCTAAGCCACTATTAATCTCAGGCAAAATAACCAGCAAATTGATAAAGGATAAATTCACTGGGAAACAACACGAATAAAACTGATGCTAGTCAACACCATTTTATAGAAACTTTGTCAGTGAAACACAAACCTTTGATTTAATCATCTGATAAAGTTACAAACTGTGGTCAATATTAGTTACTCCACAGATGAAACAGACAAACTTCTGAATGACATTTAGCTTACAGCCACACAGCATTCCGAGTAAGAAATTATTATCACTATCATCAAATGTGATTAAGATGGAGATACAAAATAGTAGCTGTTAACAGGAAATAATAATTGAAGAAGAGTGCTCTACGTTACCCTAATAAAATCATCCAGTACTAGCTCAACATTATCTAAGTGTACCATCAATGCTAAAGAAGTAAATATAGTTGATAGCAGTTATGGCACAAAAATGGTCAGGTTGTTTAATAAAGGTAGAAAAGTGATTATTCAAAGTAATATAGATTGCTTTGTAAGATGGCAACAGTGTATTACAGCCAAGTCCACTTACGTAGAGGGAAAAAACAAGTAAGTAATACCCAGAGAACGGTGCATAGAAACCAAGGACTTTAAAAAAACAACCACAAAAAACACAACAAACCAATTTTCATGGAACAGAAACAACTCAATACAAATGCCAGTGAAATGTCATGACAAAAAGGAGTAATGACTCCCTCCCCACACGCAAGTGCACAGGACCAGAGATACTACTTTCTTTCAGAGCGTTAGGGGTACTGGAGTGACGACTACAGCTGTATGGCCCTGACATCGTTTTCCCACAATGGCAAAGATCTTGGTTGTTCTTCACATTTTCTCCATAATTCACCAAAAAAGGGGAAGAATTCTGCACCTCCTAAATATGTTAACCAGAATGCCCCACATGCTGTTATTAGCACAGGAGGGAATCAGAAGGCCCTTGTATGAAAAGAGCACAGCATCGATTTGAAAAGGCTGCAGAGCACCAATGAATCACAGGAACAGTCTCTGGTCCTTTCCAGGAGGGTAAGAGAGCTCAGGCCTTATGTTAGTGACTGGGCAGTACCGACTGTGGTGTAGGTACAGCAGTAAGACAGATCTTGCCACCGATGTTTTTTAGGGTTATTTCCTTACATAGCAATTACATCACACCAAAGCCACTTAAAGAATCATACAGTACTGTTTTGCTTTGCTACACTGTGGCTCTCCAATCTGTAGCTTAAAAAAAACCCTCTGAATAAATGCAGACTTTTTGTCAAAGGTCTCTGAGAGAGCTGGACTGCCATAGCCTTCAATGACAGCACGGGTAGAAGAACATCATACATATGCCTAGGAACTAACTGCATGTGTGGCTTCACCAGGGAGAAACCTGAAAGGCAGTTGGACAGAAAACCACATACTGGAGGTAGGCTCCTGCTGGGTGGTTAATTTTGGCTTACCTGGTCGTGAGACCCTTGAGCTGCTGAATGCTGCTCCTCGCAGGCTGCTGTCGAGAGTCTGGGGGTTTGAGTTACCATGGAGATCACCGCATCTGACAGCTGAGAGGGCTGCAACGAGAGACAGAGGGACCCGTCAAGCTGGTTTCCATCACCTCATCAACACACAAGCATTTGACTCTTTTTGCTTTGGTACAAGCTCCCAAGCTAGGAGCTTTGGCAGAACCGCAGGGTGGAAAAAACCCAGCACCCATCACAGCAGGAATGAGAGAGGCAAAGGCAAGCCCCAACAACTCACAGCATTCAAGTACTTTGCAAAGCCGTGCACTTTTTTGGGAATCTGGAAGAATCCTAATACACCCTGAGCTTGCCTCAACAATTTTCAGCCTCTTTGGTCAAGTACAACATCAGCAAGCAACTCATCCAGAACCGCTGCTGAGAATGGGACTGAAGTACCCACGTGCTGCCCCAGAACAGTGGGGGGACACAAAAGTGCTCCCTGAGAAACCTTCCAGTGGGAATTGGTTGAGCATAAAGAAATCACCTTCCTGTGTGATTTTGGAGGGAACTCTTAAGAAAAGCACTTATGAAAATCAAACATGATTCAAACATGGCATTCTTCTGCAACAGTACATCTATTTGCATGCTTTTCCGTGCCTGCTATCAAGCATGATGAGTAAAGCTTTATTTCATGTTTACCTCTGCCATTCAACTGCCATGTATCTTGACTAGTTTCCTACTCCTGCATTTCAAGCTTTAAGTCTTATGCTCCGTTTTTGTCTATGTAATCTAATAATTAAATGCTCTAAAGTGAAATGAGATATTCATTGGAGACTTCTAAAATTAATTATACTCTTCCACACAAATGTCTTGCAGCTTTTAAAACTATACATTAAGGATCATTTTATGATATAATCAGTTAATAAATAATATGTTTAAATACAACATCAGGAGAAGCTTTCATAAATCCAGTTCTAATTTCTGTCTGCAGCACTACAACATGTTCTCATTTACAACACTGTGAGACAAGTACACCATCTAACCAAGTGCAACTACTCACCTGAGAAGGAGTTATACCTATTCTAATCAGAGGTGAATGACTATACAAGGGCGAAGAAATTACTATTTAGGCATCGCAAAGGATCAACAATACATCAGCTAGAAGACTGTAGTTCTTCTGAGTTTGTCCACCGAATGGTTATGAATGTGCAGCTACCTGGCCACCTATATCAGTACCTGTCTAATTCTCAGATGACATTCAGAGATGACTTAGAGGACTTTTTTTGTTACAACTTCTCCATTTCTTCTGGGAAAATTGTTAAGAGTATTATTATATTAAACTTACCACTGTTCAATACTCTGACATTACACTATACAACAGTAACTAACACAAACTGAGGCTGCTCTGATGACAAATACTAGGAAAATAACGGGCTCATCTGTGCTGACGGCTTCTGCGAGGTTCATGGAGTTTAAAGGGCACCGCAGAATACCAGATACTCATATTGTAGCACTGTAGACAAAAGTATTGTTATTGAAGAAAATTGTATTAATTCTTTCTGTCATAATTATACTCATAAATTGGTTGGGCCATCTTTTCATTTGTTCTGGTTACAAATCTTATATACTGGATCACTTTTATCAGTGACGGGATCACTTAAAGGCCATTCATCTTCCCACATTGCTACAGTGCAGGCAGAAGGTATCAGTACAGGCAGCACTGGCAACGCAGCCTGGAAGAGCTAATTGAATCCTGTAATAACACCAGCTTTAGTGACCTTGCCAGACAACTTTTTAGTAAAAACGTTCATACTGCCTCTCTACTGAAAAAGTTCTGTGTGAAGTCTAGAGCCAAGTATATAAATGATTTTCAAGAATGAAGCAAGGAAAAAGAGACAAATTAGAGATTAAAAAATATGATTTCTTTATTATTATTATTCTATTTTCCGTGTCAGTGACATTTAAAAGTTATATAGCTTTCCCTTAGAATTGGGTGAGAACATACATGTGGACGGTTGTTATAATTTGCCATGTTAGCAGATGCCCCAACCCATAAAGCTTTACTCAACAATAAAAGAGTTTATTAAAACCTAACTTCATACAGAAATAACTGCTAATATAAGCTTTGAAATAAACAGTATGCAAAGACAGAATACGTTTTTGAAACCTTCATTTTTAAACATTCATTGGTAATATTAACATTACAACCTATCACTACTTACAACACAATTAAGGTCTCCACAATTTATAAAGAAATTGAAAAAACCCCACCAGAGATCACAGAACACAGCTGCAGAAGTGATTAGAGAACTGCAGAAAATACATTAATATGAAATATTTGAAGAGTTCAACTTGTATAGTTTATTTTTAAAAAAGATAGATGACCTGACTACAGCACCTAAGTATTTTCATGGGGAGAAAATACTGAGTACCAACTGGCTTGTTAATCTGGCTGAGAAGGGTATACATAAAACAAATCAGCATCTGGAAGCTGACACCTAATTCAAATGAGAAATAAAGCACGTGCTTTTCATCACCTGTGGCTAACCATTAGCGCAGCGATCAAAAGGAGAATGCAGAGATTCTCCATTTGCTGATATCAAGGTTTACTGGGACTTTTCCAGAAGATGAATTTTTGGTGAAAATGCAAGTTACCATGTAGTCATATACAAGTTACTGGGTTTCATACAGACAGGCCAAGTCTGCAATACAGAGAAATTGAGATCGAGTGATCTAGTCCTCTCTTCCTGGTCATAAATTAAGTATATTATGATTCTAAATAATTGTCTAGCTTTGTAGCTAAAGCATTGGATGGTGATGAGCACTGGGCATGCTAAGCACACATACTTCATGACTATATGCACATATACATACACATATAGTGAGAGAGTGGGTGTGTGTTCAGGCCGTATGTGGAGGCAGAGAATTACAACCATCTTTCCAGAGGCAGGTGGACTAAATTCTGCTCCGAGTAATATTGTAGCTTCTAATTTAGGAAGCCTATTCTTTCTTTAATGAGCTGAAAGGACTGGGTCATAGGAGAGTGGTAGCAGGAGCTCCCTCCAGAAGCGTCATTCAGGCCGTCAGTAAGATGCCCAAGGGCAGGCAATGTGAAGGCTGCTCTCTGAAGCCGTGCCTCCACTCCACAGGTGCAGAGCAATGAGTAACAGTGCTTTGTGTTACTAATTACTTGCCAGTCTCATCCCTGTGGGCAGCAAGAACTTCCAGCTGGGGTATTTCAGTAGGCCAGACAAGCAGCTCCCCACTCCACCTAAAATCCAGGTGCTGCCATGGCCCCACAGCCCCACGCTCCCAGCTCTCCCCTGCAGCCACGGCCTTACGCTGGGCACACAAGCAGCACGGGCTTCTCACAAAAGGAGGAACAGGAGAAGAAAAGGGAACAAGAACGAGAAATGGCCTAAACGTTACACTGAACTGCTCCCATGGCTAGTGACCTGAAAAATTTTGTCCCTTAAGCAATGATAAGGAAAGACACTGGAAGTGTCAGTTTAGCTGGAGTCAGTGCTGTGGCTGTGCCTTGGAGTGGTGAGCTCCCAAGAGATCGAACCATGGTTAAATATCAAGCAAAAATAATAGTAAAAAAATTCATTAATTTTTCAATGATTGCAAATCTGGGACATACGGTTTGACTTTGGATGTTGCCTTGCTTTTGATAACACAAAAGCCAGTCAAACAACGCAAATACATCCACCAACCTCCTTATCTCTCAGCGGCTCCATTGGAAGCAACCTCCGTGGAGCAAAACCGTGGAAAACCCCGACACCAACTCACACGCAGGCAGTTGATACAAAAAACCCTGCTTATAACAGAAGTGCAAATTTAACTGAAGAATCCTAACACTGCCTTTCACCCCTGTCCCCACAGGGACAGTCAGAGAGCAGCTGCCTCCCGGGACACGGCAGGGTACAATTAGTGCGGTGTCAGTGCCGGGCCGCACAGCACCATTTACACTGAGCAGTCAATAAAGTAACACTCACTTAAAGGAGGCCTGAATCTGATGACCTTAGTAGGCCATAGATGAAATACTGCATTTATCCGCTGCTTCATATGTAGATTTCCTTTTGCAGGGACCTGCATAACTTCAGGAAACTGAAACCGGGGGCCAGATTTATAGGAGGCACTTGAAATTACCAGCTGTGCAGGTGGCTAGGGGTAAGAGCACCTCAATATTGTAAGTAGATTTACTCTCAATTTAAACTCGGAGTAATTAGTCACATCACTTAGGAAGATATTTTTGTAAATTCTACTGAATTCCTCCAAATAGATTTAGATATTTACCTATGTTTCCAATTTGGTTTATGTTTAAATACTATTTCTCCATAGTTTCAACAATTATTTTATTTCTTTTCATTAAACAACATAGGTGAGGAGAAATTAAATCAGTGATATTGCTGTTGTGTTTCATCACATTTCTCATAACGCTGTTCCATAATAAATAAACACTAATTGGGTGGCTAATTATCCCTCTCCTTTCTGGCTTTTAAAGGCACAGGAGAGTTTGAATGATAAACAGGCCATCTTCAGCAGACACTGAACTACAAAAGCACTTTTGAGAGATTTCACTGTATGTCTGGGAAAAAAACAAAAGCACAACATGAATATTTTGCTTTCTTTCAAAATGATAAACAGCTTTAATATTTTCAAACAGCCCCTGGAGGATTATACTCATAGTAAACCAGGACTATATGGAAGATTCCAATAGGACATTGATAATTATGCCACCCTTCTGCAAAAAATAACCTAAAATGTGTTTGGTAAAGCAATTCCTAAAAAGTGTATGAATCAGTGAAGCGAACATTCCAACATTTGCGAAACTTCTGCTGATGTGCTGGGTTTTTAGTTTCTCTATGGATTAACACCACACATAAAAATAATCACAGCAGTATAACCACAGCTGTGGCCACCCCTGGGGCATGACCAGCAATTAGTCTGTACAGGATCACGGAAAACACTGCAGTCACGTGGAGCCAAAACCAGGACCACCATTTTAAACACAACATAATGTGCTGGGTTTCTCTATCTTGTTTCCACAGAGCACCTAGGCACTGGAACTACAATCTCTGTTCAGAAAAACCCACACAATGCCTGCA